TCTACACTAGATGTCATACCTGCAACCCGACTAGGGGGTTACCTATTTAAACTCTCTGCGCCTATGTGAGTTACATAGCTATATATTAATATATATTAATATAATTATATGTTAGTATATATCAGTAGAAAAATACTTATAATAACCCGTAGTGATGATCACCAGCCCTGTTCGTACAATATCTATACGTGATGATACGATTATATTATGCATTATTTGATGATCTAGGTATATATGTTACATTTTTCTTTTTTACTTATTAATTTACCTTTACTAAACTAAAATCATTATATATTTTATTCTTTTCATTCTATTTTTTTATTACTGTGCATTTACTACATTTTTTTTTTCTAACGTGCTTCTATTTTTCTTTTAGTACTGTCTTTTTACACTTTTAGCAATATTAATTCCAAAGGAAACTGATCTCTCTAATATCATGTTTCTTCTATTGCATATTTCTTTCACTAACGCTCTTAGATTTTTAGCAATTTACTTCAAAAAGAAACTACGTTTTTACTGTATATTTACTTTATTACTTTGTTAGAGTATTTCTTTTTAGTTGAAATTTTTTTTTTAAATTATTGATATGTTATAAAGAACATTATAGAAGATGAGCTATAATATTATGAATTTCACAAATGTTTTGGTTTTATTAACTATTTTTTAACTTATCTTTCTAGAAGTTTTAGATATAATCATTTTAGGATTGACAAGTAACTCTTTGGTTGGTTTTGAAACTATAAATGATATAACTTTAGAGTTAGTAACTGATGAAATATCTAGATCAGAATTACATGTAGAAATAGAGCCGAATGATACCAAAACTTTCAATTCTCAGTGGGTACCTCTTTTTCATCATGGGATTTAGCTAAAATACATCTTAACAGTTATGCTAAAGCTATAGGTTCACTTTGTGGTGAAAATGTATAACAACTGATAAAGATAGTGAAGTTTGGCGACGAACATTTGAGTGTTTATATTCTGGTAAGGCAGTTAGCAATCAAATTATTGATATTTCTAGACAGCGTGATAAGAAGTCAGTAAAGGTTTCATGTTCATGGCATGTAAACCTATTGTATCCAAAATCATCTTCAAATATGACTATTACAAGTATAGAAGGAAAGCATAATCACTAAATGCAACCAGATATTGCTTTATATGCTCTAAAATATAGAATGTTATCTTCTGAAATCTTGGATAAAATAGAATTTTATATTAAAAACAGCAATATGAGATCTAAACAAATGTTATCTCTTCTGACAGCACAATTTTCTAATTATACGATCCATAAACATGACCTTTATAATACCGTTCAAAGGTTTTTTTTTTTTTTTTTTTTACAAGCTATTTTGCTTCTGATTTATTGTTTGTTCAAAGGTTTAGAAAATTATTAAATCAACATTATGGAGAAGCACAACAATTCATTAGTTATTTGTTGCAGCTTAAACATGAGAACCTTGCTGGATTGTTCATATTCGCTTAGACCTATATGACAATCGATTATTAGGATTATTTTGGATGTCTTCCATATAACAACAATACTTGATCTGTTATATTGATGTTGTTCAGACCGATAATACATGCCAAACCAATTGGTTTGGCATGTATCTCACACTTCTAGTAGTCATTGATAATAATACAAAGTCACAACTGGTAGCTCAAGCATTGTCTGACGATAAAACTACAGAGTCATACGAATGGTTTCTTGAATGTTTAATAGATGCAACTAATAATATATCACTAATTTTCTTGTTTTCTGATGTGGAGCCTGCTTTAGCTAGTGCTATTACTCTAAAATTATCTCAAACAAATCACTTTTTATGTATCTTTTACAACTAGAAGAATATTCGTAAAAATTTGAGAAGTAAGCTTGGCAAGCAATTTGATGAGTTCTATAAGAAATTTTTACATGCGTGAAATAGTACTTTTAAAGAAAACTTTAACAGAAGATGGACGCGCTTGTTAAACAAGTATCCTCAAGCACAAAATTACCTTGATAAGGCATTGCAAAGTTGTGTAAAGTCATGAGCACAATGCTATCAATTAAAATTTTTTATAGCAGGAATTCAAAGTACTCAACGTGTTGAAGTAATGAATAAATTAATTAAAGATGGTATCAGAAATACATCTTCTTTGCATAACCTTTACTAATATATATAGGATCTTCTAGATAATGAAGCAAAATGGTCACAGCATAATAACTATTTAAATTCTCTTCCTACTAATCAAGCATCATTAATCGTTAGATCAATATTTCCAAATATCATAAAAGTATTACAATTATATTTGATACCCCACATATTAGTTGTTCAATTTCGACAAATCACTGGATCACTTTTATACTGTGCGCAACTACAAGTGAAGGAAGATATTCAAGTATTTTAGGTTAAAATTTGTTTTTTATTTGTGTTTGTGTACTAGCCAAAATTAAAAAATTCGATGTATCGAATTTCTTAATTTTGATCAGTGTAATTTATATTTCAAAATTATTTTTTTTTTCAGAAAAGTCAATTAGATTATGAAAATGGTTTTTTGGAGAACCAACTTGATAGACCACAAATATCTGTCATGGCTTTCATTAAGAATATTAATCCAAATGATATAGTTGAAATCTGGAAGCTATTTGGGTTGTCATCGACTTACAAGCATTATATTGTATTGTTAAGTGATGGTGGGCATTTATGTACTTGCATAGTTTTTATAAATCGTGGTATTATATATGCATATTTTTTTCAAGTAATGATGAACACCAAAATAGCCAATTTTCATATTGGATTAGTGGCAAAGCATTAATATCAAGATGAATAGCAAGATAAAAAATTAGGTTTACAACAAGACATTGATGTTTCAATGACCTTTCAACAAAAAGCTACAGATATTATCATTCTGAACCTTTATATTATTGAACAAATTAGAGATGCTAATGTACTTAATGCAAAAGATCAACAAATATCTAACAAAAAGGTCAGATATGCAAATAGATTCAGAAGAATGAAGAAGGTTCTTAATACTGCTTTGGATCTCAGTTGCAAAAAGGAATTAATTGATATGATTATTGATTTTATTGAACAAAAAAAGTCTGAACTTAAAAATATTAATGACAAAGGTGCTCATTCTGGTTAATCTGAAAAGGTAATTATTATGGATCTTTTGGTTATAAAACATCGTGGATGACTAGCAACAAAACATTTAAAAAGTTTATATGAAACACAAAGTCACAAAGGATTAGTATATAATCATAATACAATTGATTCTCCAGATTCTAATTTGAGAATTCCTTTGTCAAATGTTAATTTAAACTCAAATAGTAATCATTCTGTAGACAATAGCACTGAAGATTGTAAGGGAAAATATATATGTAACACATGTAGTAGGACAGGTTATAATGCACATACATATAAACAGCAAGAATAGTTATAAGATATAAGGGTTGCATGCATATAAATAGGATAGCGCTATGGTATAATTTATTGCAATTGGTATAATTTGCAGTGTTCAAGTATAATTCATTGTCATTTATGACTAGATTAATTTGTTCTTCAATATTTCATATTTCTGGATCATATTGAGAATAATTATAGGCCTTCAAATTTGAGTAATTCAATAATAATATTTGACGAAGCAGCATAATACTTTTAGTACTAGGTAAGTATTATTACTAATATTTTTAATCATTGATATCAGGATGGAATTAATTCTGGGTTAGGTTA